CACGGTCCTCTGGGACTTCCTCACCACTCGACTGTATCCTTGGTCACTACACTAGAGGACTACTCCTCTTCCTTTCCACAGTCTGGGCTTTTGGGACAACATTTCGGAACACCGTGGCCCTACGCGGGCCTCATGGGTACTCTCCCTGCCTTCCGCCTTTGGGTGCTCTAGCCATGGGCTTAGAGTGAGGTTCCGTTGAGCCACACCAGGTATCCAAGTAGGTAGTGCCACCCACACTTGGATTGGGAGCATCGGTCAGTCGATCTCCCGAGGGAACTAGAGCCGGCTCTTGAACACTTCACCAAGCTACCCCGCTTGTCGGCTCCTATTCACTCTAGTCTTAGACTTCCCAGTGGTCAGTTCATCACCCAACACTGGGTATGGCCTTCCTGGGCCAAACTGGCCTTTCCTGGGCTAAACTGGCCTTTCCTGGCCAAATTGGCTCCACTGGGCTTCAACCCCCACACTCTCCCTACTATACTTTTGGAACCCCCCGCAGCCCCCCCCCCCCCCCCGACGATCGCTTTGGGCTTTCACCCAACTGCCTGTATTAGTATTCGGACTCGAACTTGGGCTCAAACTCGAACTCGAACTCGGTCTTGGTCCCGGTTTCGGACTCAGACTCGGTCTCGGTCTCGGTTCCATCTCAGACTCCATCTCGGACTTCATCTCGGGTCCATCTTGGACTCCATCTCGGACTCCATCTCGGGTCCATCTCGAACTCCACTTCGGACTCCATCTCGCTTCCATCTCAGACTCCATCTCGGACTCCATCTCGGGTCCATCTCGGACTCCACTTCGGACTCCGTCTTGGGTCCATCTCGGACTCCACTTCGGACTCCATCTCGGGTCCATCTCGGACTCCATCTCGGGTCCATCTCAGACTCCATCTTGGACTCCATCTCGGACTCCATCTTGGACTCCATCTCAGGTCCCTTTTTTGGAGCCTTGCTTATTGGTTGCCTCGTGCTCACTCCTCGAGCACTTTGTTGGGAGTTCCACTCCCGCTCTCGACCTTCTAAGTCAGAGCTTTTAGTCCAAACGTGTTATGCTCGTTTGGCTTTCGCTTCGGCCACTACTATGTGGCGCCCTTTCCGGCTCCACTTTGGGGCCTAGGGATTTTGTGTCTCACAATCTCTTATTATTCTTTCCATATTAGTTGATACAGTTTTGAGTTTATCTTCTATTACTCGATCTATTGCCACACATTGCCATCTACATTTGTGTCATGCGGCAAAGCCAATTTTCATTTTTTATGGCAATTGCACAGAATGAGGTGTACCTAATTGTGCATGTGGGCGATTTTGAGCTTGAGTTATAGCCATTGTAGGTAATGCCAAATCAAGTTTTTTACCTCATCCTTGGTATGGATTGGTTGCATTGCAATTATGCCAAGTGTGACTTTGAGGCTTCTCCTCTTTGTATTATACTTTTTTATATTTTATCCATTCTTCTCACTTTTGTACTTCTTCATCCCTTTACTTTTACCTCTGCTTCCATTACTTTTATTTTTCCATTACTACCTCTTATATTTCTATCTTGTTCCACTCTTTCTTTTTTTGATCCTTCTAACGGTCTTTGTGTTGTAGCAGTTAACCAACTCATAAAGAAGTATGTCAATCTCTTTGAATTTGACGTATTGTTTAGGGTTAAGATTGCCACACATCATCCAAATCTAATTAGGGATGCTCATCTAATCAATGTTCCTATTCATCGTCGGTCACCCAAAAAGATCAAGATTTTACATACAAATATATAAGAGATGTTGGAAAAGGGTGTTACTCAAAAGTTATAAAATCCTTAAGTATGTGAACTTCATCTTATGATAAAGCCTGATGAGAGTATTCATTTTTGCATCGACTATCATCCGTTAAATGAAATGATAATCCCAAATATGTACCCTCTTCCTCACACTACTGATCTCTTGGATTGTCTAAAGAGAAGTCATTAATTCACCAAGTTAGATCTTGCTTATGGGTACTAACAAGTACTAATAGCCAAAGAAGATATTCCTAAGACTGTTTTTCGTCACTATTTGATTTATACAAGTTATTAGTGATTCCATTTAGTTTGAACAATACTCTAGTGACTTTCCAGCAAATGATGGACAAGGTTCTTTATGATATGCTGGAGATGATTATTGACTTCATTGATGATGTCTTGATACACTCGAAGGGGACATGGGAGGAACACATCCGTGATGTTTGTAAAGTGTTATATCAGCTACAGGAAGTTGGTTTAAAGCTAAAACGGTCAAAATGCATGTTTGGGTTCAAGGACATGACTTATCTTGGGCACTGTATTTCTTATGAGAGTTTGCAAGTTGATTATGACAAACTTATGGTTGTTCTAAAATTCCTTACTCCAAAGTGTGTGAATGATGTATAGTGCTTTTTGGGCAAGATGCAATATCTTGGTCATTTTGTAAATCATCTTTTTCATCACATTGCATCATTGCAAGCATTGTTGAAATCATCAACATCATTTTTCATCTGGCCTACGGACTGTGAGTAGGTGTTCATGGATCTCAAGGAGCTATTAACGACTTTTCCAATTTTAGCATATCCTAACTACATTTGTTACTGCCATTATTTTATTATTGAAGTGAAAGAACCTAGTTGGTTATACTACTTAGTGGGCTTTGAAATTTCAAATATATGATTTTGATACTAGGGAGTTTTGATATTGTTCATGCCCTTTCTCGAGCTCCTCTTCCTTTTTTACTTTCTTCTCATGTTTCTGACAAACTTGTTGTTCCAGTATCTATGGATTTTCTAGACAAGGATTCTATGCTATTGGCGATTGCTATACTTGATATTTAGTGTCCAAAAGGTGTAGAGCAAGATCTACCTTCTCTTGATGAGGTTCGCAAGGCTCAAAAGATTGAACCATAGATTCAAAGGCTTCAAAATGGGTTTGAGAATTTTGCATCACTTGCTGATAACTTATAGTTCTGGCATTTATATTCTCAATATCACTTTAAAGACAGCCTTCTTTATTTTGTGGGGACAGATCCTGATATTCATTTATAGCTTATGGTGCCTTCAATATTTATTCCACAGTTTCTTATGCTTATCATGATTCTCTTGTTCTATGTGGGCATATAGGACATCATCATATGATCAAGAAGCTACATAAGTTTTTCTATTAGCCGGAGATGTGACATGATATTATCCGATATGTGTGTAATTGTGTTTGGTGCTAAGCTCGTAATACTCCCCCTCATGCTGCGAAAGGATGGTTGAAGTCAATTGCAATTTCTCATCTGTTTGAGTTGATGGTATTTGATCTTATGGGACTTTTTCCTTAATCGACTATTGGCAATGAGTATGTTATTATTACTTTTTACTACTTGACTTGTTGGGTGGAAGTTGGTGCTTTTGTTAATGCCTTTGCAACTACTGTTAGATACTTCTCCCTCAATTGAATAGTGTTCTAGCATTCTTGTTTGGAGCGAATTCTTTCAGATAATAATCCCGTATTTATGGCTAAGGAATTTCATGTTTTGACATCTTAGTTGGGGATGCACCACACTTTCACGAGTGTTTATCATCCACAATTAGACACTTTGGTGGAATGGCTCGTTCGGACATTCAAAGGGATTATCGTGAAGTATGTGAACTTTCAATATTCAGATTGGAATGGTTATTTATCGTCTCTTCTATATGCATATGTCACAGGGGTGTATATAAGCAACTAAATTTTCCATTCTACTTCAGTCATTTAACCACAACTTTGACCACTTGGAGAAATCTCACTCACAACTTCTATAAGTCCTATTTTGGACTTGGGGCTTGTTAACCCCGAGAATGGCATCCTTGCCACTCAACCTCTGCACTTAGTCCGAGTGCTCCATGTGTCCAATCCCATGACCGACACCTAAAGGTACCACCAACATATCAGCCCGTTGCACTAAGGCCATGCTCATTCACCTTTGCTATACTATTGGTCCAACACTAACCATATCACAGTCCTATCTCTCAAAAACTAGGCCATCCGTCCATGAGTGGTCATCCCAAATCCACTCCTTAGCATCCTTAGGATACTTGCAGACATGGGGAACAGCCTTCCCCAATATCCCTTTTACAGTCTCCACCAAGTCCCAAGTTTCGTCCATGGCTGTGTTCGCCAGCACTGCCACTAGGTCAACGCTCACAGGCCCGACCACTAAGTCCCACTGTCCTCTAGGACTTTCTCACCACGTGACCATATCCTTAGTCATCATATATCTGTCACTCCTGGATCAATCTCTCCCAGACATTGGAGGTACTTGATCAGACTCTTCGGGCCCTGCCTTGGGGCACTTACATGAATCCTCTTCCACTCCCCAGGAAACAAGCTTGAGATCCACATCTTTCTTAGTAGTCCCAATTGACATGCATCATGCATACTGTGTTGATGCCCGTGCTGCTCCGGTCACACAGCCCCCCAAAGTCCCTGGTGGAAAGACACCAGGAACTCTTGAGAGTGCTGGAACTTCATGAAAATCTCCTGCTCGTTGTGCTCGTGGTCGATGATGTCTCGTATGGCAGTAGCTCAAAGTCCTGTAAAAATGTACGGTGAGAGTAAGCCCTAGATGGGGAAAGATCTTCCCGGCGCCATTCTTATCTTCACGATCCCCAGGTATGAATGAGGAGTGGGTACCGTTAAATCCTTGCCATGCCGAAATAACAACTTCTTTGGCATGGATGTGGTAGACATCAGAGTTCGATCCAAACAATTGATCTCTTACATGGAGATCTATAACAACGTCAACTACATGTAATCTTCATCAGGTTAAAGTCCAGGTATTTGTGTGTTGGTACTAATAGCTTGTGATGCAGAAAGACCAGCTGGCAGAAGGAAATATACGAATTGGCAGTCGTTTAAGTACCACGAAGACGATTGTTTTCTGACTGAAAATCCTCCACCTTTCTGTTAAAAATCTCGCTATTGCTATCGAGTAGCACAATTAGCTTTCTAGTCTTTTCCATTGTTGGAAAAAAGACGAATCCAAGCATTCAAAGTAAGAAGTCTGATTCAAACAAGCTCGGTCCGTCGGATTTTACACAGGGTGTGTACTCTGACGTAGACGGAGCTGCTTGGTCTTCTGTGTTTAAAGTTGCCCAGACGTCATCGAGTTCTTGGTTTAGGCGCGTCCATGCATCTTTATTGGCAACATTTGGTTTGTCCTTGGTCGTTGTTTGTTGTAAGTCACGAGAATGCAAAGGAATGACACCTCCGGTGTACTTTGAACATCCCAAAGATCATCAGCATTCTTTTGGAGAAGGGACTCAAATGTAAGGGTGTCACTATCCCGCCTAGTAGAGATTCGAGAGTTGTCCAAACGTGTTAAAGGGCTCCGAAAGCATTCAGAAAAGCTAGCAAATAAATACACATAAAACAATGCGTCCAAAATCCTGTTGCGCGGAAAAAATAATTCATGAAAATAACATAAAAAACCGGGGTCAAACCCCTTCGAATGATCATCTCGAGCTGCTGAACTTAAGACTAGTGTCTACAAAAACAGAAAAGAAAAGAAATAAAACATTTCTTCCAAATAAAATTGCATGAGAGACAGATGCAACTGCGCCTCCCTCCGACACGAAAACATTGTACAATACTTTGGAACACAAAAAGTAAGGCGCTTACACGGTTTAGGAGGTGATGCCATACCTCATTGACGTGCACGCATATTACAACTCTCGAAGAAAATTGAAGTGTTCCCTTTGTTTCGTCTGTGTGCATCTGAAACAAATTATACGAAACTTAGGCACTGAGCGGTTATACCTCATGCGGTGTAATGGTGTAAATAATAGCCGTTTCTGCGTTACCGTTTAAAACGGATTGAAGAATGCGCGTCAGTTGTCCCGGTATGGTATATGACCAAAAGATGAAAGCTAAAGACTTTCCTGGACCCTCGCTGAGCTTATTGATAACAATGACCCTTGGCCTTAAGTCGAACTGAGCTGCTGTTTTTGCAACGCGTTCAGAACCGGCTAGATCTACCAGGTTCAAGTTATAGTGCAAAGATCGTAAAATTCCAGGCTTACCAAAGTAGACACAGTCCCTATTCTGTTATTGTCAATGACCCTGTGTGAATGTGACAGCACTTAACCACCATTTGAAATATAGAGTGAGATCGACTACTGTATCTGTTCATGTTCGTCTCACCAAAATGACGATATGCTGCAATACCATTGACAATGTCAGTACCCCTGAAGCTTTAAGGAATCAAATACTTGGTCAGGTTTCCTCTTTGAGTCCAGCAACCCTTCTGTACAATGAAGTGTAAGAATGTGAGAAACACTTGCAAATGTTACCTCGAAATCGTGTATTTACATTTAGCTGTTCTAGCTCACTTTCTAGACGACTATTTACTTTCCGTAAGTCAATCACTGTCTGCACACAAAAAAATAATTATAAAAAATAATGTTAAACATCTGGTAACCAACAATATCGCGAAGTCCAACATTACCGTGACCGAAAACACGGTTCTCTTGGAGGAACTAGGGATTCTCTACTTAAATCTGCGAAGCTTGAGGTCTGGTGTGGTTGGGACGGATTGATTTATGCGTGATTTGCAGGAACATGAAACAGCAAACAAGCTTGATGAGCTGGAGAGAAAATACAGCCAGAACATGCGAGCAAAAACACCTACTTGAGGAGAGGCTTTTCTCTCGGGTAAATGTTTATGGTTCACTCCAAAACGCGGCAGGTCTAACGAGCAAATCCTCTCAGGAAGAGAAATACAAGACACAGCTCCATGAACTGGTAAACACGAACAAGGAGCTTCAAAGGACAAACGAACAACTGAAATCCTTGTGGGTATAATTTTCATTCTAAGATGCACAGTCAAATAGCTTTACTTTCTTGCAGGAAGAAAACTACAAGTACTCTCAGATAAAAACACCAGCCTCCAGAAATTGATCAAAGAAACTGCACGTAATTAAACTTTAAAAAGTTACTCCCTCGTATAACATAACATCATCAACAAGCGAAGGCCAGCAACGAGCTTAAACTCTCATTGGAGGCCCAGGTACCTAAGGTAAAGATGTTCCAAACGATTGCATGGCACAATCCATCACACGCAAGGAATCGCAGCTCCGGGAACTAACCGCCAAGCTCTCGTCCCTTGAGGGTTGCCTCTACGCGCTAGCGAGTCTCTACCTCACAACCATACTCTCCAGTCGAGCGAGCACGAGGCCCTGATCGCTCACATCGATACTGGACAAGGATCTCCGGCGGGCGAGGTGAGATCTGGCGGCCAAAGTGGGCGTCCAGGCCCAGCAAAACCAGGAGCTCCTCGTCAGCCGAAAGTATGCAAGGTTAAGCCATGTGGACGGCTATGATTCAAAGCGACGAGCGCGGCGATTTAGATTTAGGGTTCTAATGGCGGAGATCTCTATGAATCGGCTTGTGAGAGCTTGTGAGGTAGCTTGCGATAAGATCTATCCCAGGAAGGATTACAAGAGGCAGTTCAAAAAGGGCCCATTTCACTGTGTTTCGGGTGTGGAGTCTGCCGAGTTTCAGCGATTGGCGGATCAGGATAACGTGCGAAAGTATGGATTAGCATACGAGCACGATGGAGGAAACGTTAGCATCTGCGGGGACAACACCGAAGTCCACGCAGGGATGAAGGGGTACGTAGCCATTGTTCTGATGGATCAACTCCTTAAGCTCGGTCTTGATCCACTCTGCGGCCCCGTCTATCACTGGGTGAACTTCATGGTGGTGTTCCCCAATGGGGACATGAAGATGGTGGATCACGCCCTCTTTCAGCGCTGCCCAGAGACGAAGCGGGAGCTGCCGATTGTTGTGGTGGAGCTAGCGTTCTACAACGAAAGCCACGAGAAGTTGAGGGAGAACGTTGCGAGGATCATGGAGGTGGCCAGTGTCAAGCTGGTGATCGGTGTAAGTGCCTGCATCGATGATGCAGACAACCTATACTTCAAGGCATGCATTGGCTACGCTGGAGACATTCAAGACTTTGATCCACTTAGGGGGGAGGAGTGCTTTTCGGTGCCTACTTCCACCTTGTTTCAAGACGTGCCAGAGCTGCCTTCCAGCATGGGCGAGCATTTCAAGTACCCTCTCGGAGCAATTGTGAAGTATTCAAAGGGAGCTCTGTACTCGCGAGACAACAAGACCAGCAGGTTTTGGAGCTGTAATTAAATAAAAGAAAACATAGTGTTTTTTAGTGAAGCCCGATGTTATCGGGAACATAATTTTGCTATTCATTTCTCATACTTGTTATCTACAGTCTTTGATATGTAAAGTGTTTGCTCTCCGAGTCCAACAAATTTCAAGAGTGGGAGAGAAACTTGTTGAACAAGGTTGGTCATGGTTTTGGTGAACAATTAGTAGTTCATCTCGCTCAGATTGCTGAAAGCAGGGGCAACAACAGAATGTTGGTAAGCTTCATTTTTATGATCCTTTTAACATATTCAATGATAGATACATGCACACAAAAACAGCCATTTTACTGAATCTCTGAGTGCCTCAAAGTATATCATTTTATCAGTGTTTTGCTAAATGCAAGTAATCTTTGTCAAGTATAATACATGCTTGTGATAGGAGAGAATCTAAAAAACTATCTGAAAAGGGATGCTTGGATTCTCTATTTAAGCACAAAGCTTCTGTGTGAATTGATAGATTGATTATGAGAAATTGCTAATGTGCAAACACTAGCAAAAAATATATCTAAGATCAGATCTTTGAAAGTTAAGAATTTTATTTTTTGATTCTTATAATTGATAGGAAATGAAAAAGCTCATATAAATCTGTAGTTATTTTAGTTCTGAAAACTTCCTTAGAAACATTTAATTGAAGTGTGGCTGATCACTATCCAAGAATAAAACCTAAAACAATAAATTTTATTAGAATAGAAAGACATTTAAATTGAAAATTATACCTGTATCAAAGTAGTTTTATTGGAATGTTCGTGCAAAAACTTTAATAACAATAGTATAAAAAAACCTTTAAAGAATTAAATATAAATATATAATATATAAATAAATTACAATTCTATATATATTATGTTACCAAGATTTTAAGGAAGTCTTCATAGAATGAATGTTTTCATTTTGTTAACTTGTTATCTGTGAAAAATCGAAGCATATCATTAGATTACATACAAAGTACACATATTATTTTATTGACATGAATTTACCTAAAACATTTGTTTAACATTATGATATTACCACTTTTAACACAAATAAATTTTTTCTAGATTCCCCAAAAATAATTGATAAAAAATACTTATAATAAAATATAATTTACTCAATTAAATATATAATATTATATTTAAAAATTAATTAATTAATTAATTAGTTTAAAGGGTGAACTTCATCTTGGAAATCAATTCCAAATGCCAGAACATCTCCATAAAAAACCAACTTATAATTTAATTATGTAGTTGGCCAAAAGGGTCCCACTATAACCACTAAAAAATAACACTAATTTGTAATTGTTTATTTCCATATTAAAAGCAATAAGATCTAAAATTGTATTGTATAAGCTTAAAAAATATTGTCTTAAAAGAAAAAAAAAGTGGATTGCACCCATAGGTTTTTACATATTTAGAGAAAAATTTTCTGAGCTGTACTTTCCCTGTTTCAAGCTCTTGTTAGAATGGTTGAACTCCTGGCAATCTTGATCACAAACCTTGACAGCTGCTCCGGTTAGCATCGTTGTCTCTCCTTATAACTCTCCTTATGGTTGACATCCTGAAAATTTGTATATAGTGCATGGCCTAGCAAGCGAACACATACTTCTGAATGATCGCCTCCAGCAATCACACTCTGCTCCAGTGTCCCAGTGGCTCCATCGGTCAGGTAAACTGGCCGCTTCTTCCGACATGGGACGCCCGTTTCTTTGTTCTGCAAAAGAACAAACCAAGATTTTACCGCGCTTAACATAGGAAACATCCAGCAATCTCACTCTCCTTGAGCATCTCGGTGTTTTTCGCTAAGTAAAGTTCCCGCGTCTCACCGATGCCCATTTCTTTCTTCTGCAAAGAGCAAACCAGGATACAGCAAATGCGAAAGCTCTAGACTTCTGATCTTTCCAGCGCTCTAGGAACATGCCGATGATCAAGAATCACAAACCTCGATGCCAGCGGTCACCAGCCTCACGATCTTGCAAGAAGCCACATCGCTCAGTGAAATTCCCCGATTACAAGCCGCGGTATTTCCATGTGCTTCATCTGAGCTGCCTACTTCCTTGTCCTGCAAAGAAGAATAAAATCCACCATGACCAGCGCCAGAATCACCGCAAAAAATGTAGCACTGCGCCTCATGATGCGATCGCGATCATCCGGGCGCTCTAAAGAACCCTAAAGCTTGAGAATTCCGCCGTCTGAGCTACGGGCGGGAGAGGCACGCTACGATGGTGTGGTACGAAACACGCTATGTACGGAATTTTTGCTTACCTGTCATAAATTCGAACATTGGATATTCTGTTCCTTTCCGGACATCTGCTAAGTGGCATTGGTTTATCTAGACATTTAGAAATGTTCTATTTGGATCACGCTAATATGTTATAACATTCTCCAGAATTCCGCCATTCACAATTCACAGCGACACAGGACGATCTAGCGGCGCAGTTTTGCGTATTCTGAGCACACGGCACTACAGTAAACAAGAGGACTAGAGTTTCTTTTGTTCCGTATGAGACGATGCTGGGCCAAAAGAATTAAGAATCAGTGAAGCTATCCAAAGGAACTTTTTACCTCCCCGCAGTTTAAGTGTTGTGTCCCACCAGCAAAGTGTACAAATGCTGAGAAGACAATATAGAGCCTCGATGTCGACGATGTGAGGGAACCTTTTCCTGCTTTATCACGGATTGTATCATTGGAGGTACTCGATTAGACTCTTCCGGCACTGCCTCGGGGCCCTGAAACGAATCCTCTTGCGCTCCTCAGGCGTTGTTGTCGACTTAAACACCTTCCAATCCTCGATGACGAGCTTGAGATCCGCGGCTTTCTTAGCAGTCCCCTTGCAGCAATTGACGTGCATCGTGCACACTGTGTTGATGTCCATGCTGCTCCGGTCGCACAGCCCCCCAAAGTACCTGGTGGAAAGATAGCGCAGCCTGATTCCCAGGTCCAGGAACTCGTGAGAGTGCCGGAACTTCATGAAAATCTCCTGCTCGTTGTGCTCGTGGTCGATCACGTTCCTCGTATGCCAGTAGCTGAAAAGCTGTATGGTTCTCTCGTTGGAGCGGGCGTAGACGAGCCCCATGTTGGGCGTAGTGCGTGAATAGCGGTCGCAAGTCACCTGGAAATCAGCGTCCTCGGAAAAGTGCTTGATTGGTGAGCGTAGCCAGACAATGTCAAGGTCCTGTAAAAAGATATAGAACCCCGGGAAATGATGAATCTCTGGACCAACTAGAGAAGAAAATAACGAGCCATACCGTGAAGATGAAGTTGAATCCCAGCTGCAACACAATTCCCTGGAAGTAGAGCCTTCGTTTGTTCATCTTCACGTAGTCTTGGCTCATGTAGAACTGGTCCACGGAAAGGTCCACGCCGTCGATTTCTAGCCGAAAGCAGTGTTTGTGGGTGTCGAGACAGTGGTCGTAAGCATCCTTGTCGAGAGCGATGATCACCAAGTGATCCAACAGAGGGACTGTGCCCTCGCCAACACGGAAGCTCTCCAAAAACACGTCTAGAATACCTCCGGGCTTGGCCCAGGCACTGTTGAGCGGTGCTAGAATCACGGTCTTGTTGTCGTCCATGGCAGCATTGGTCAGGATCTCAGCAAGGTTCGTGAGCTCTCCATCGGTCTGGAGCACAGGAACAAGAGCGACTAAGAGAAGAAACCAGATTTTACACTCACAAAGTTGCTCGACAGCGCAAGAACACTCTGGGAGTTCTGGGATTCGTGAAGAATGTGGATGCCGGAGCCGATGTAGAAGCTGGCAACGCCAAAACAGAGCATGGCCAAAATCATGAGCGCGGCATTGCTCCGTCGCAGCCGGTATCTAGAGGCTACTTCCCCCATCGCTCGCCGTCAGCTCCCGGCCAGAATCGCAGAACAATTCCTCTCGCCCTGAAATACCAAGAAACGACCGCAATTTCCCAATCAATCGATCAATCGGGGCAGAAAACAAGAAAACCTGGCGCTCGCAATCGCAATCCACATGCAAGAACACGAGCTGATCGCTCGTCGGCGACGCGCAGCGCCCTGGCCTCCTCGATTCCATTCAAAATTCCACTGCGCGCCCAAGAAGCCGATCGATAATGGCGGCCGCGCAATGCCCAAGAACCCTAAAATATCAAAACGCCCCCAGCCTATTGGTAGAGAAGGAAAGAGAGAATTTGGTAGAGACTCGACACCTAACGCGCTTAATTTCTTTGCTTCTTTCTTGGCGAGGGAAAACAGGTAGTGGAATATGCCCCGAATCGTTCCGCGATATTTAAGGTCGACGTCAGTGTGAGAACACGCACTTTACGCATTCCACCTCGAGCAGCAGTCCAAATCCCTCGGAGATTCTCGACAGCGGCAAGTTGTGCGTGATGTATCGATCCAGATCGATCACCTGCGCGTGATGTTTCCAATGATCCACAAAGCTTTTCTAGCGTGATCGGAAAGAATTCTTACCCCGGTCATGAACTTGTCAACCAGCTCGGGCATTTGGCTGCGAATCTTGAATCCACCGAGTGATCCCGAGAGGATCTGGCGGCCAAAGAAGAGGATGTTTGGATCGAAGCTCAAGTTTTGGCCCTCCGGAGTCACACCAACGATGATGAGGCTTCCAAACTGCGCAAAAGCAGCGTGAGAGCACTTGGAAGCTGGAATGCGGCTCGTCAAAGACTTACCGCATGGAGCGAGTTGAGAGCATCAACCATGAGCTTGGGATTCCCAACACACTCGAAGCTGTAATCGACGCCACCGCCGCTCAGCTCATGGATCACCTGAGCGATGGAGAACGAGAAATCTATAGTATGAACAAAAGCAGACTAACCTCGTGGATGGGTTTGTCGTTGTAGTCCTTTGGATTCACAAAGTCAGTCAGCCCAAAGTCCTCTCCTGTGCAAAGCAACAGTGAGGAAAACTTCGCATATAAAATCCGAGGCAGAGAAAACGATTGATCACCAATGCGTTGTTTGCTTGGCTGAATGTCCACACCGATGATGCGAGATGCGCCAGCGGTTTTAGCACCCTCCACAACCTTCAAGGACGCCACGAAAAGGAATTTAAGCAAAAGAACAAAAGAAGCACATGGAGTATGAGCGGAAGAAGTGGTACTAGAGGACTACGATTGATATCTGAAAGCTTACGGCTAGTCCGACTGTTCCAAGGCCAAAGACGGCCACCGTAGATCCGGCCTCGACCTTCGCAATGTTCCACGCAGCTCCCAGGCCTGATCATCAGCCAAGAAACACGAAAAGAATCACGATCTTGGTCACCAAGCTCGAAAGAGTTCTCACCTGTGGGAACTCCACAGCTGAGGAGGCAAATCTTCTCCAGCGCCACCGATGGGTCGACTTTGGCGACGTGAGAGTGATGCATGACAGTGTACTCGGAGAAGGTCGAGCAGCCGAGAAAGTGGTGAATGGGAGTCCCGTCCATGGCCGAGAATCGAGTCTTTCCATCCAGCATCGCCCAGCTTTTCACCTCCGCGAACGCCACCACGCACAAATTCGTCTTGGGCATCTTGCAGTAGCGGCAGTCCTGGCATTCGGGCTGGAAGACCGACACGACGTGGTCGCCGGGGCGAACGCCGTCCACATTCTCGCCCACGCTCTCCACGATCCTGGCACAAATGTTATGGCAATTCTGGATGGATCTAGGCGGCGCAAGAAAGCATCGATCGATAATCTCACTCACCCCGATCCCTCGTGGCCGAAGATCACTGGAAACGATCCCTGGCCAAGATCACACCAGATTAGATCGATCTTGGAGGAATCGATAGGCGCGCGCGTGCTCACCTTGCCTTTCCAGAAGGTAATATCGGTGTGGCAGAGCGAGGAGTGGACGATTCTCACCCTGACCTCGCCGGATTGCGGTGGAGCGACGCGAATGTCCTCGAAAGAGAGCTGCTCCGGCTCCCAGGACACTGCCGCTGGAGGAAGAAAAGATCGATCGATCAACCGAAAGAAGATTGCGGGACCAGACCTTTGCAAACGATCTCTCGTCCTGGCGCCATTTCTTTATCCCCGTCGCGGAAAACACAAGAAAAAGAGGTAGAATAGCTGACTTGGCTAGCAACACATCATTCTAATGACGTGGCACAAATGCCGCCGTGCAGATGAGCGGATGAAATCATGGAGATAGTGTTGCGCTTTCCATCGCACTTTAGGGTTAGGGTTCTTAGTGCCATGGAAGGACGAGGAGGAGGAGGTGGTGCCAAGCGCCTGCAATCCAAGGTCATTTCCTCGGCGGATGGTGCGAACCACAGGTATGTCCCTGTCAAGCGTCTTGATCGTGGCCCGGAACTTAGGGAATTTCTTTCCTGTGAGAAATGTGGGTCTTGGATTGAGAGAGTTCATGCTTTTCCTTGTCCTTGTGCTTGAGATCTTGGCTTTCCGATTGTTTCCCAGGATTTCTTGTTGCCTTGTCCTTGTGCTTGAGATCTTGGCTCCAGGATTTCTTTGTTCTAACATTTTCTGTGAGGGGCAGAAGGAAGGACAAGTGGGCGACTGAGAGGCATGAGCTTCCTGTGGAAGAAGAGGGGAGGGGTCGACGCCGCTTGCAAGACCCTGTTGCTCTCGAAGACGCCAACAATGCCGAGGAGGGTGGAAGGCGGCCGAAAAGAGGGAGATTTGAGACTCAAAATGGAGAGAATCCCGAGTTCGTCCCTCGTGCGGGAGCTTTCTTCGAGGTAGAGTGGCGCTAGTGACTTAAAGCTGACTTGAAAGACGTACTCCATACTTGTGCTTTTGCAGCACGATGATCGGAATAGCAACTGGCGCTCACGGACAACTCCCAGGCGCAGGCCATTCGGTATCGTCTTGTCACATTTGTTGTCTTAGATGGTTTCTAAATTGCCTCTACATGTGTCTACGGTACTGCGAAACCTCGGAGCTGTAAGTTCTCTATTTTCTCTGCTGGAAGTTTTCTTTGTTCTTACGCTAGTGCTCAGGTTTTCTAGGCGAAGGAAGTCGGCCGGAGGATCGAGGGCCAGTTCGGAAGCCTCCTGAGGAGCGCTGGGAAGGAGGAAATCCCGAAGCTCCAGGCAGAAGAAACCAGGCAGATCGGTGGCACCACGATCGGTTCTTGGAGCTCGAAAACAAGAAAGGTGGCAGACTAAACGGCCCTCCCCCGAGGTTCAGAGACGGTGACAGGATGGCAGGCAGAAGAGGTGGATTCCCGCGAGTGAATGGCAGAGGCAACGTTGTGGCAACTCAGATGGAACGAGGGCGATGGGGGGAGGAAGAAGCCGGAGGAAGGAACGCCATAGCCAGGAACAACAACAACAACAGGTTTCGCGGGCCTGTGGTGGCGAATCCCAGGGGCGCTGCTGCTAGCGAATGGAAACACGACCTCTTCGACCAGCGGAACCACAGCCCAGCGGCACAGAGGGAAGAAGCCAGCGTCGCTAGAGTGGAGGCTCTCTTGGCGTCGTGAAGCTCAGCCATGGTGACGAAGATAGAGGAAGCTTTGCTCGCTCCATGGCTTCCACGCCTCGTCGAGCCAGTTCATCCAGGACTGTGGCTTTGGAACGGTAGCTCCAGATGGAAAGCTCGTCACGGCGATGGCCACTGGTGGATTCACTTTATAGATCATACAGGAACTAGATCACTGTCGAAGACGACCATGTAAGCTTTTCATTTTGACATAGATTTCACTTAAATCTTCTCGAGTTCTAGCTCTAGTCATTCGCGAGGACGAGCAAACCCATTGAGATGTACATTAGAAAGACTGGGTACACCGCCAGGGCCTTTCTACTCGGCCTCACGGCAGTGGAGACGAAAGGATAGACCGACCAGGAACTCCATAGCAAAGTCGCGAAGATCATGGCGCTTCTATACAGCTTGCCGCTGTAAGCCGCGCAGAGGATCGCTCCAATGTCGAGAGGAAACAAGCAGTAGCCCAGGACGCTCAAGCTCTGGAGGAAATTGAGCTTGCCACCCTGCATAGCGATCGAAGGTCTTGTCAAAGTTTTGGAGCTTCGAGCATGGCTTTACCAGAAGAACTACGTTCATCGTGAGAGACACTGCTCCAGCGGATAGCACTGCGAAAACCACTGCAAACACTGTGGACTATCGATCAAGCACAGCACGAATCAGTGGATCAAAGCTTTGAGTGATCGACGAGTTCTTACTTTGTTGGTGCTGGCTGTGGAGGAGAGGATGCAAGAGAGAGCGATGATGAAGAAGAAGGGTCCCCAGAGATCCCAGTCGCGCAGAGTTCTAGCCGGATCGTTCCGGTTGGAGTTGAAGACGACGATCTGCTGGAGATTGTTCGCGACCCTTCTCGCGTCGCGGGCGAGCGTCACAGACACGGGCTCCGTGAGCGTGCTGTGGACCTCCTGTCGGGTGGACGAGGTGGAAGCTATGGCGGAAGGCTCGGGAACCACGGCCTGGGAGACTCTCGTGGCTGGAGAAGGCCTGGAAGAAGCTCCTCCACCGAGCTGGAGCTGGGGACGAGGAGGAGGAGATGGCGTTCTTTGCTGGCCGGATTGTTGCTCGTAGGGAGATTGGTAGTGCTGCTGTGGATATGGAGCTTGCTGCTGGAGGAATTGCTGCTGGAAGAACTGTTGCTGATTGATGTGGCGAGGAGGAGTGATTGGTCTTTGCTGCTGGAGGAAGCCCGGTGGTGGAGTCTGTGATCGCGGCTGCTGCCGGAAGCTGCTATAATCATAGGATTGCTGCTGGAAGCTCGGTGGTGGAGTCAGTGATCTCGGCTGGCCGAAGCCCATCGATCTCTGGCGCTGGAGGAACTCCGGTGGAGTCATCGATCTTTGCTGCTGGAGAAACTCTGGCGGAGGAGGAGGCATCGATCGTTGCGGCTGGTAAAACTCTGCTGGAGGAGGAGGCATCGATCTTTGCTGCGCGAAACCTGGTGGTGGAGTGCTCGATCTTGGCGGATTGAACCATTGTTCTTGCTGGTTGTATGGCGATCCTCCTCGAAATTGGGACGCTCCTCGCGCTTGGCTATACAGGTTTTGGAGAGCGTCCATAGCTCTATAATGGAAGAACCAAAGGAGAGAGAAGAAAATAAAGGTAAGATTTGAAAATGCATTGGACACGTCGGATTCATTTGGTTCGAGGATCCAACGGCGCAGATTCGCCAATCCCGGCCGTCGATCTTTGTAATAACCTCTGTCAATATTACTAGGGCAGAGCAAAGAGAGGGAGAGCGTAGCATTGCGCGCTCGGATCGATCGATCCATCTCGAGCAGGGCAGGGCGCGGGGCAGCGATTGCGGGGGTGGAATCGAGGGGCGCTGGGCAGATTTGGGGCGAGAGGTAGGGTTTCTCGCGGCGGCAATCGAAGGATTACAGCTGACATTGATTGGATAGCGTCTGCTCTAGCGCCGATGGAGGGCAATATTCCAGCGAGCTCCGAGCAAGCGTCGGTGACTACAGTGGAGATTAGAATCAGGACTCTCGATTCCTCCAATTACACTGTCCGGGTCGACAAAGACGTAAGCTTTAATTGGATGCATTTGGGAAAAAAACTCGTTTTCTTGGGTTTTCAGATGCCCGTCCCCGCCTTGAAAGATCGTCTAGCTCCTGTTGTGGGTGTTCCTTCTCAAAACCAGAGATTGATATGCCGAGGAAGAGTCCTCAAGGACGATCAGCTTCTCTCCTCATACAGTATGCTCTTTTATCTGATTTTTTCTCTCTTCCTTATCTTCTGTGTTGCAGATGTTGAAGATGGACACACTTTACACCTGGTTGCGAGACCTCCAGCGGTCACTGAAGGTAAGCGTCCTTGCTGCTGGTACTTTAGTACTGATTGATCTTTGGGACTGAATTTCCAGAAGCTACTGCAACACAAGCGCCATCAGACTCGACATCTCGCCATCGCCCCTCTCATGTTACTCATAGCTTGCTACTCGGGACCATCAACATTCCAGAGGTACCGGAAGGAGGCATACCCGACTTAAGCAGGGTGCGAATCCTTGATCTCTTGTTGTCCTTGGACTTACCTTGTTTTTTACAGATTCTCTCGGCTGTTCTTAATTCTGTCGGTTCCGGCGCTACAGCATTGGACAATCGACGAGGTGTTGCCGTGGTAAGCTGGAATCTTTCTGTGTTTCTTCTCTGTTTTCACTTATACATGCGATTCATAGATGCAAGTGGCTTCATCAGGTCTTTCCACCTCAAATGCTCCTGCCACCGCTACCTCCACCCCTGCTGCCGCTACTGGTCCTTCCACCGAAGGCAGACGCTCCACAGCGCAAGCATCGGCCGAAAATATTCATTTTAGGAACATAGAGGTAACTTGGTTGGTGGTGTATGTTTGAATTAACTCTCGAGTTTACAGGTTGTTCCAGATGCGCTAACAACCATATCGCAATACTTGACGAGAATGGAACAAGCTTTTGCTGAATATGGTATGCTATATCTCTTTCAGATCAGGTGCTTGAATGTCATCGTTTGTATATGCAGGCTACGACGCTTTAGATAACCCCCTTTTGTCCTCGAGCTCCAGGCCTAGGTATAATAGCGCTAGTTCGTCTGCAGCGACCGGTTTACCTTCTCGACCCCTTCCAACTCCAGCATCCCTGGGTGCTACTATTTCTCGTGCTCAGGAACTTTTGCATGGTCAAGCCAGCTCAGCTCTTGCGGTAAAATTGGATCAATCTCTGATGATGCTTTTCTAACATTCTCAAAATTCAGCATCTTGCTTCCCAACTAGAAACGGAGGCGACACTATCCGATACAGCGGCTCGTGTAGATCTGCAATCCACTGCTGTTTGGAGTGGAAACATAATGCAACAACTCGGTGCGCTACTAATGGAACTTGGTCGGACAACTTTATTGTTGCAGCTTGGGCCATCTCCAGTAAGTCTTTCGTGCTTATCTTCATTGTCTGATGTCTCGTAAACAGGCTCAAGCTGTTGTAAACTCTGGCCCAGCAGTGTTCGTTTCACCGTCTGGTCCAAATCCAATGATGGTGCAAGTAAGGATTCTCTTTTTTTACATTTTTTAAGCTTAACTTGATTGATACTCCTTTCCAGCCTCTTCCGTTCCAAACAGGCTTGCCTTTGGGAGCATTTCCGTTGGGAACAGCAGCCGAAGCTGGAAGTGCCAGGACCGTCGGCATGAACCTAAACGCGGGTGATTCTACTCGTCGACCCTTCACACACATTCCTTTATTTGGCGGTTCCCTACGTCATCTCCAGCATACTGCATCCGACTTACTGGCATCCGCCTTGGAGCCTAGTGCGGTGGACGAGAACGGCGGCCAAACGGGCGAAGGCTCCGAAGCCAGGCAGTCACCAGATGCCGCTCGCTCTCCCAGTGATCTGGAGAATCCCGATCAGAGCGTAGCACTGCTAGTCCAAGACAACGGCTCCGTGAGGCTGGTACCAATGAGGACGCGAACGGCCACTAGCGTCAATCTTCACTCGTCATCCTTGTTCCGGGGCCTGCGGTCGTCGTCAGAAGCTGTTACTGTCCCGGTGCTTGGCATCCGGGCACAAGTTCATGCTCATCCATGGACGCAAGCAGTGCTGCAGGCGTCGGAAGGACAGCGGCCAGTTGGTATCGCAGTGACGATCCCGGTGGACGTGACGAGCTCTCGAGGGAATGCGCAAAACGGCTCTGCAGGTAAAAGAACTATTTTTCTGGTGGTTTTTAATCTCTGCTCTTCCAGATACCGGGATGGACTTCGCTGTAAACGCAAGCGCAACGCCTATGGATCTCCCCGCCGCAGAACAAGGCCGCCAAGACGAGGTTTGTCCTGTGTTTGAAGTTTTTATCCTAGTTTGGTGTTACAAGTTCGTAGGCCCATGAGGGATCCCAGGGAAACCAAATGGAAGCGAGCACCACCGTGAAGCCGCAGGCCTCGGAGGGCGCAGAGGGAGAGAGAACAGCGTCACGCAAACGAGCCGGAGGAGCCGACGGTGGCGGCGCCGCTGAGAGTTGCATGTCTACGACCCCAGAGTCCGAGGTACTACGAATCCCATTTCTCTATTCGCGCTCCACCTTTGTGTTTCATTGTTTCCTTTGTTTGGTGCCAGGGGCCGCAAGAAGAGAGCGAAGCCAAGCGTCGAAAGGTATGAAAGAGAGATTTTTTTCTTCCATTTATCACTGTGACTTTGGATCAGACCGACAGCAATGGAGACTAGTAACAGATCGCGGAGTTTACAAATAACGTCGCCACTATATTTATGATCAATGATTATTTGAGAGAGCAGCATAGCTAGTTATGTACTATGCTAGTATCGTATCTATCGCCCTTGTGTAAATTCGGCTATAATCAACATGAATTCTTTTTAACCTTCGCTCACCTCCTCGTCTTGAGCGCTTGGAAGCGAGCCGTGAGATCGTCGTAGTCCGGGAGCTTTGGGTGTACGGAGTGGCCGCCGGACGAGCCGCCCGAGTCCGTACGCGACGCCGGCGGCTTTGGAAGCTCGGGTGGAGCTCGCTGCGGTGGGATGCTCTTCTGCCACTTGAGATCACCACTGCCGCTGCTCGTTTTCGAGAGAGGAATGGATGCTCCATCGACTCCATCGCCATTAAACTCGGGCTCGTCGAACTGAGGCATGGAAGGCGTCGGCGAGAAGTCGAACGAAGGTGGAGGGGGGTTGTCTCTTCGCCGGTGGAAGGACGAGGAGGGCGGAGGAGCGCCGTCGTCAATGCCGGTGAAGAACGTCTGGCCTTCGTCGCTAAACAAGTTGCCGTGGATGTTGTTTTGCTGCTTGTAAGGAGCCGACGATGAGAAGCCACCCGAGTTTCTCCGCTCCTCAGCACCGAGATCGAAGAGGTCATACTTTGCTGGCTGCTGCGCTGCTCTTGGGGGCGACACGCTCGTTCTCCTGTCCATCCTCCTCCCGTCTTCGTCTCTCTCGTCGTCACTGTCGAAGAATGGCTTCTTCGGAGCGAACTTGGACGTTGCATGGTTGTCGTCGCTGTCGGAGCTCTCGTCCTCGTCTTCGTCCTGTTTAGTCCTGTCCCATCTGTTTGCGAAACTGGCCGGCGGAGCGGGCATCTCAACATCGCTGCCGTCGGAATCAACCTCCTGAGATGGCCTAGCTCGAGAGAACGAAGTTCCCTTGGCCAGGTTCGCGGCAGCTCGGGCGGCAGTGGCAGCACGCTCGGCGGAATCCGCAGCGGCTTGAGCAGCAGCAACGACGTCTTTGTACTCCATCGGTGGTTCTTTCTCCTCGTTGTGGAATGAAGGAACAGACTCGGGTGGTGGCGGCGGCGGCGGCGGCGGCGGCGGCGTTTCAAAGTTGTGGACTGGCGGGGGAGAAATAAACGGGACGAATTGCCTTTCGTTGTCTCGTTGAGGTGCTGCTGGTTCTGGCGGCGGAGACACCGGACGGATACTTGGCTGCCGTTCTTCGTACTTACTTGACTTAATCTCTTCCGGTTCTAGATCCTGCATCTGGAGAACGTTTCCAGGCCGAGATTCGAATTGCGATCGCATGCTCTGGGACGGGACAGAAGGCATATCGTTGTCAGAAGCGTGTTGGCTAGAAACTCGAGACGACGCTGCGAGTGGTCTCTGGCTGGACGATATGAACTGACTTGGTCCATCCTGAACAAAACTTCTTTAACATGAGAAAAGAAGAAAGATCGAAAGGAACCTACGAGAAGGTCTTCATGTTGCTTCGTGAGCTCAGCTTCTGTTTCACTTGCATCCCACTCTATATTGTGCTCGGCAGCAATCTCCTTCAAGAGCTTCAATTTAACTTCTCCAGATGGTGCACGGACCGAAAGCTTTTCTATGATCTGCAAAGACAACACAGCTTCCATCAAAAAACCGTCTAGTACATCCAATCAATGAAAAGGAAAGGACCGCTGTACCCTTCTATTCACGCCACAGTCGGGCCTAAGCTCTCCAGCGGATGCCACAAATTCCTTGCCGTACTTAACCGCAAAGAGCCCACGTACTTCGAGCAATTCCGGCAAATCGGAACACCTTGGAGCAGCAAAAATCAAGCTAGCAATTGCCTCTTTAAGATCGAGAGGACACTGTCTGCAAGAAAATATAAAACAAGTTGGCATTAGTTTGCTCGGCAAGAAAAGAAGCACACACAAAAATAAAAAGAAACGAAGAGAGACTTACTTTTGGGACTCGATGATCGGCAGCCTCACAACAACGAGCTCGCAAAACAATTCCACAATCTCGTACGCAGCCATGATGTTTTGCTCCCTGAAAATGTGCTCAACCTATTTGATGAAGAACAACAAAACGAGAGGATATTTTTGAGCTCCAGTTCTCAAACATACCCGAATCCGGGCGCTCGGCTCCTGTCCAGTTTGCAGCAAATTCGCAATCTCCCTGCGCATGCCCCTCACCTGGAGCTCCCTCCTGTTGCGTAGCAGCTTGATCCGGGACATCGCCAGCCGGAGAAGCGTCTTGCTGCATCCATCCCAATCAAACGACAGGCATCAAATCACAGATCAGATCCAGCCCGCGCACTGCGACGACGATCCACTCACCACTTCGCCGCCTTGAACCCTCTCCCGAGGAAATCCATGCCGACAAAGCGCGTTAGCTCGAGCAGAAGAACATAAACCCTAAAATAAGCCACTAAACAAACTATGCGGAAGATATTCCGTCACCGTCAAACATCCCTGCAGATATTCCGTCGCCGTCAAATAGAAACACACTTGGATGACCTAAAAGAATAAATTAAAGAGGCCAAACCGAATATCCCACCAAACAAAACAAACCCGACTTTATTGCGTGGGGGCTCTCACGCGTAGGCGCAGGAGTTTGCGAGAACTCGGAGGAACTTGACTTGGCTGGTATGGACCTTGAAGCGGCAGAAGAAGGAAGTGCGGTACTTTGGGCGCACCAGCGGGAAGACGTGGGCTCGCGACTGGATTGTTCCAGTCACCGCCAGCGGCACGTCGCCACCGCCGCTCGTGTAGCCCTCTAGATCCGGCCCCGCGCCGTAGAGCGGCACCTTGATCGCCTCCACATTCACGGGGAAAGTTTTCATGCTGTCCTTGTGCTGGTAGAACTTTGGGATCTGGTCCACATCAAAGCCCAGATCAAGATCAAAGCGAAAACTAGAAATTCACAGTAGCAAAGTCTCTTCTAGGGCCTCACAGTGAGCAAAGTCTCTTTTTAAGTTCTAGAGCTTCTACAGTTCTAAGTTCCAGAGCAAAGTCTCTACTAACTCAATCAAACTCGGTGACGTTCTAGAGCAAACTTGAGGGAGAAACGAGAGAACTTACCTGGCCTGTAGCGATCGTGAGCTCGTTGAAAACCAGATTGATGTCGGCAGCGTGGACGTGGAGGCCAAAGTACTGCGATGGGTTGCGGAAATTCACCATGAGCGTGCAATTGGACGTAAGCACTCGCGTCGGGACGCCCGAGTCCGTCCCGGCCACGACGGTAAACTCGTGGAAGATGATTTTCTAGAGCCAGGAAAGAAACAAAGCCGCGCATTAATTCCCTTGTTGCAAGCAAAGTAAAAACCATACCTTGACGACGAGCTTGGGCGAGTGAGGCTGGCAGACGAGCCAGAAGATGAGCGCTCCAAAGCTGAGGAGAAGAACACAGCAGAGAACGCTGATCCAGAACAGGCAGCACCGCGAGAGGGGCTTCCTCTTGCCCGATTCTCCGTGCGATTGCTGCTCCTCCTCCTCCATGATGGTCCCCGGGATCCATTGCTTGTACCCCTTCTTGTGCGGCCTGTGATGGGGAGGGAGCGAGCCGCCGTGGGGAAGAACTCTCCGTGATCCTGGCTTGGGCGCAGGGGGCACAGAGCTGGCCTCGCTCTGCAAGCTTCCCGAGTGCTTGATGAAGGACTGGTGATGGAGAGGCGACGCCATGGGGCTCATCACGGGCGTCGAGTGGAACGATGGCTTCTCGTTGCCATCGTGGGAGTCACGGGACGGGCTCTGGACGAAGTAGACTGGATGGCGCGGCGGCGACTGCGGTGGGGAGAGCCCGGCGCTCGTCCCTTCCGAGTCGAACGAGGAGCGCATCTTGCCGTAATATCGAGCCATCGCGCCGCGACGACGAAATCTCTGACGAAATCTCTGCTGCTAAAGCCAATGCAGGCCTCCCTGGACTGCCGATGCCCGATATTTCGCGAAAACCTTGCTCGATCCACGCAAGAACACCCTAGCTCTCGAAATATCGACCGCGAGAGCTCGAAATCTGGCAAGTGCTGCGGCGAATCCACCAGGAGCACCGCCACGGAGAGCCTGCCATGCACCAATGCTCGATATCGCTGCACAAACCGGATGAAACACCGAGAAGAAAGAAGAATCACTGAGAATGGAGATAGAGAGCTAGCGGCGAGCGAGAGGCCGATGGAGCGCCTTCCATCCCGCTACGCAAACGCCAACCGCGCCGAAGACTCCACGAAGCGCAGCGCCGTCGCGAGAATCGCCGTGTTGCGGATCAGGGGAGCGATGAACTGTCTCCCAGCAAGGAATGCGCAAGGCTGTGGCAGAGCCGTCGATCTGGGCATCGACGGTCGGGAGGGCTCCCTGTATTTTAGCCGTTGGATTGCCACGTTGCCGCGAGATCTGGTCGTCCATTTACTGTACGCGAGAAAGACCATATGGTACATGAAAGAGGCGCATGATAGATATGAGAAGAAGGAATTTGATTAAAATTCCAAAGCGCCATGTGCACGAGACATGTGCTATGAAGCTTCCGCCAGCTTTGACAGGGTGATCCTTTAAAAATACCTAAAAGGTGGCGAGATAAACAAAATGGCGCCCACCTTTAATTTTTTAGGGCTCTTCGTGCGAGATTTAGGGTTCTTGAGATTCTTGCGATGCGAGCGCTCAGTCAATGGCTGATCCTTGTTGGGATCTTGCGGCTCTCTGCAGTCTGGTTTGGATTCTTCGACATTTGGGCCCTGCGCAAGGCAGTCTTCTCGAAATCCTCAAGTAAGATGATCGATTCGCGACCGATTCGATCCATTCGATCCATTCTTTCTCGCTTGCAGTGACTGAGATCCACGGGCGGACTTTTGGCGTGTGGACGCTGCTAACGTGCACGCTTTGCTTCGCTTGCGCGTTTAATCTGGAGAATCGCGAGCTCTACTGGGTCACATTCGCGTCGTTCGTTTACGCTCTTGGCCACTTTGTGACCGAGTTCTTGATCTACAAGACGATGGCTCTCTCAAACCTCGCCACAGTCTCGATCTTCGCTGGTACTGCTAACATCACTTAGCTCGATTTCTTGAATTCACTCCTTTCTTTCCAGGTGGTTCTATAATCTGGATGCTTCTCTTTCGTCGCAATTCAAATGTCTCTTCTAAAAAGATCCGAGCTGCTGGAAAAACAAACTAGAAAGCTGAGTTTGCGATCGAGCCTCGATCCAATTGTCGATGGTGAGAGCCCAAAAAAAATTCACCGTTTTCTCGGTCGAATCGTTGATCCTAGAATCGCCTACGCGGCCTGCGATAAGATCTGGAGCCCGCCTTTGTCGTTAAACTCTCTCCGGAGTTTCTCCACGGCCATGAACGTCAGTGCCGAGGCTGGACACCACCACATCACTCTCGGCCCAGCTCCTTTGAACAGTCCCCTGATTCCTTCTTGTTCCTTTATCTTGGTGATCGCATCGAGCCAGCCAGTGTACCTGGATTCGATGAGTCGCAAGTAAGCAAGCAATCGAAGATCTGGCAAAGCAACTTTAGTAACACACCTTGCCGATGTACTTTGGACTTGCATCCGAGTCTTGACAACGTCGAAAGGAGTCGTCAGGAACGCACTGAAGCCTAGCCGAACAAAGAGTTAAAGCGGGGCATTTGATGCACTGAGCTCTCACCTCCGGCCGCCCCGCCGAGCAAAAAGTCCTGCGAGCACGAAAGATCACCGTTGGCAACTTTCAAGGCTGTCTTCCTGAATGCTTCATACAGAACGATCTGCAAATGCGCCAAACAAATGTCAGCAGGACAAAAAACAAAAGAAAGAACGACCAAAGTTAAAGTGTATACTACCTGCAAGCCTGCAAAAGGAATGTCACGCACAATGGTGGAGAGAAGGCTGCAAAGAAGAAAAGAAAACCATTCGTTAGCTCACTTCCAGGTCAGAGAAACTCACCCAGCGTAAAGGCCGCGAGTTCCTTCCTGCGCGTGGATCGCTCTCGCCGCATGAAACATCCCCGAGTAGTACTGGAAGACTGGAGCTTTTATCTGCTGCTGCTTCGCAGTCTCCCACGCCTTTCGAGAGCCTTGGACCTGCATTCGCTGCTTGATAACTTCGCACGGGACGTAGACCACCGCGCCAAGAGCATCTCCTGGAAGAAACAAATCGAAAGAGAGTAGAGATCGATTAGCGAGAATTCGTCGTTTAGAGAAAGAAAAGGAACTCCAAAGTACCAGCTGCGCCAGCGAAGAACAGTGCCCATGGTGTTGGTAAGTTTGGCCTCTTCTCTTGTAGCAAGTCCTTCGTGGTCTCGATGAAACCGAAATATGTGGCGCCCGTTACGAACGATCCAGTGACTCCCGGAAAGACTCCCCGATAGAATCCTGTCAATCGCGTCAATGCCGGTAGAAGAAACGATCGAAATATCGCACCTCGGATGCCGTCCCTAGCGCCGATCGTCTTGGAAACCTGGACAAGATTCGCATTCTGCGAAAGCGAAGCTCTGCTCGATCGACCGACGCAAGAAAAGGGAGCGAAATCTCTCTACCTGGCCGAAGCCGCTCTGGAGCCGCGTCTTGATCGTGTCCACGGGATGCATGATCGTCTCGCCGAAGCCGCACGCCAGGCCTCCCCATAGAAACTCCCTCCAAGCTGCCAAACAGAGAGATCGAGATAGAAACCGAGAATGTGGCGCTCGATCCAGGAGAGATACCAGAGAGAGAGACGGCACTGCGCGATCCCCCCGAGTCGGCGATCATCTCCCCGCCGGTAGCAAAATATCGCTCCTCCTCACGACCATAAACCCTAAGCCCCAAGCTAGGAGAGAGAAGTATATTCCCGGCACCAGTATTAGGGTTTGTACATTTGGATTAGGGCTTTGGGGGTACAGCAGCTATGGCGGAGAGCGGGCGCCCAGCTCATGGCGACTACGAGCGGCGATCTTCGTCCCCACGGATGGCCTCCAGTAAGCGGAAATACGAGGAGCCAGTGGAGGCGCCACCGCGGCAGCCGCCACAGCAGCAGCGTCCTCCTCCGCCGCCGCCGCCTTCTTCCGACAGCCAGCGCCCGTCTTACAAGAGCGTCCCTCCTCCTCTCTCGGGCTTCGAGGCGGCGAAGCAGCGCGCCGAGCAGATTGCCGCGCGCCTGGTTGGGGAAGTGGAGTACAAGAGAGCCCGGACGAGCGCGGATGACAACGATGGCGTGGCCAGCAATGTGGAGCGCGCCGGGGGACACTATGGGCATCAAGGTACTCGCTACTGTTGGTTGATTGCTGCTAGAAAGGACGATCCTCAATCTTCTTTGGTTCTTCCCCCTTTTTAATTTTCATTTAGATGATCGGCCTCCTTCAGATTCGTACGTCCAGCACCAGACTAAGAGAGTGGACGTTCCTAATACCAAGGTTTGTATCGAGAAGTTCCTTTGTTGTTGTTTTTTTTTTTTTTTTGATCTTATGAGTTTTTTTGGTTTTGCAGGTTGGGCTCGTGATTGGCAAGGGAGGTGAGACTATCAGGACCTTGCAACAGCAATCCGGTGCTAAGATTCAAGTGACCAGAGATGCCGAGGCTGATCCGGGCGCAGTAACAAGGCAGGTTGAGCTCACTGGTACCCCTGAACAGATTTCTCGGGCCGAGCAACTTATCAGAGAAGTCGTGGGAGATGTACGCGAAAGTCTTTTTTTTTTGTTTTCTTCTCTGGCCTTTTGGTCTTTCTCTTTTGCAAGGGAGCTGAAGGTAACGCTTGTTTTGCAGCAGGGTATCGTGGGAGGACCCGTGGGAGGTGGAGGCACTGGCAGTGTTGGAGATCCAATACACGTCCGGGTTCCAAATAACAAGGTTCTTTATGCAGTCTTTGCTGGAGCTATTTTAATCTAGATTTCGTCACAGGTCGGTCTGATCATCGGGAAAGGTGGTGAGACCATTAGAAATCTCCAACAAACATCCGGGGCACGAATTCAGGTATCAAGTCTATAGTTGTGTTAGCCAACGGGCTGGAGATTTTCCTAACGTTTTTCTTCTCCTGTTAGGTGCAACATGATAGAGAAACGGAGCCAGGTGCCACGGAGAGGATCGTGACGTTAGTAGGGACCAAGCAACAGACCGACATTGCAACTGACATGATCAAAGATGTCATTGGAGAGGTATTTCTTATCAGTATTTCAGGTTTGGTGATAGCATTCTTGGAAGTCGTGTCGTCCTCCTGGCTTGTAACCATTTCATTTTGCTTGCTTGGTAAGACAACCTTGCGAAAATTTGCCGTCCCCTTTTTGTTCTCTCTGTGCGGCTCTAACCTTCAACAGTAAGCATTAGGAGGCAAAAGTTCGTCTCATCAGCAGTGTGAAAAAAAAACCATGATACTCTTTTCCCAATGGTATGTTTCTTGAGGTCTCTAGAGTAGTCACATTATCTATGCTTTCGAAAACTCTTCTTTGTTCTTATACTTTCTTCCTTGCATTCTATATGCCTGTGCTTGTGTCTGTTTATGCTAAGTATACACTGACCTTGCAGGGACGCTCGAGGGCCGGAGGCTACCAGCAAGGCTTTCGACCGGCCTGGGGTGGTCAGTCACAGTCCCAGTCCGGCTATGGCTACCAGCAGCAGCAAGGCTACGGCTCACAGCAGTATGGAAACTACTGGGACCAAAACCAACAGCAGGGTGGCTCTTACGACTACTACCAAAACTCGGAGGGTGGCGGCCAGCAAAACGAGGGCGATCCAAACTACAACTATGGACAGCAGGGGTACTACTACGACCAGCAAGCACCGTACGACCAGCAGTACCCGCAAGGCTACGATCAATCAGGATACAACCAGGCGGGCGGCTACAACCAGGATCAAGAGTACGCTGGTGCTACTGGCTATGGCTACGAGTATGATCAGTCCTATGCTTACGATCAATCGGGACAGTATGCTCAAGCAGCCGAGGGAGGAGCAGCAGCTGCGAATGCCGCTGCGAATTCTGCTGCTGCCAGTGCTCCAGGATCAGAGTCTTACTCGCAGCAGCCACCGCCAGCGTCCTCGTCGGCTGCTCAAACGGCTCATACTTGATTGAAAGATGGATCATCGCGTCGGTATGTGGCGAAAATTTTTTTTTTTCTCGTTTTTTTTCTTCACTTTTCTTCTATTTCTACTTCTTCTCTACTTGGTTCTTTTGCTTTCATCTTGCTGGCAGCCAGCATAAACAGCAGCGCAGCAGCACAGGCTAGGTACTATTAAAGAAAAAAAAAAGTTTTGGTTTCTTCTCTAACTCTTTTTGTGTGAAAATTTTGGGCTTTGTGTTAACAAGATAGATCAGCTGATAAGAAAAGAGAGGGTGTTCTTCCTATTGTTTGGTATTTACAAAAAGGAATTTGCGCTCTTTGATGCTTTGGGTATAAACACTGAGGAGAAGTAGCTCTCTTTTCACTCCATTTTTTTTTTCCTTTGTTTTTCTCGGCTGTAAAAAATCCAATTTTCATCTTCTCGCCTTCATCCCTGCTGGATTTTGTTCGCGTTCTTCCTTTTCCTTCCTGTTGGATTGATTGATCGATCATGGCTTCTCTTGCGACGATGGATCCGATCCAATCCACTCCCGTCACTTCTTGTGCAAGTGGATCCGGCCAGACTGCGCAGCGTCCACGATGAGATCCAGCAGCGGCCTCTCGGGGTGGAACTTCATGAACTGGAGGTTCCTCTGGTACATGTCCACCAGCTTGAGCGCGTCCACATTGTCCACGTAGATGTGCCACTGCGCGAATGGAAGCAAGCTCCTGGACCAGGCGATGGCGTCCAGGATGGCCATCAATCCGACCGACACCGCCGACACGCTGCCCTTGTCCAATCCTCGCATCATCGGCGAGTAGCCCTGGTGCTCGTACCTCATCTCGTCGAATTCGTCGTTCCACACCAGCGCCCGCGCGACGCAGTGGCCCTTGTAGTAGACCCAGTAGCCCGCGCGAAGATCCGAGCCACGGACGTGGAAGAAACCCTTGGTGAAGACGTTCCAGGGCGCCGTCGCCTCCCACTCGTGCTCGCCGCCATCGATCGTCGACACCCACAGCGGCAAGATCCGCCGCTTGCTGCCGCTGCCATCCTCGCCCTCGCAAGCGTAGGGATACGAATCATCGATCGCCCCAACCGCGGCGGCGCCGGAAGCCAGGGCGAGGTCGGATTCCTCCTCCTCGGCGGCGGCGGCGGCGGCGGAGTGACTGTGGTGGTGGTGGAGAAGATTGGGTGGCGGCGAGGCGGCGCTGGCAGTGGCGATCCCGGCGGCGGGGGAAGGAGCAGCACTAGGGATCTTGGAGCCGTCGGCGGCCCTGGCGTGCTTCATGGAGAGGGGGCATTCCAGCGGCGCGCAGCAATCCGACTTCCTCTTGCCGCGGGCGCCGATGGAGGAGGATCTGGTTGCGCCGCCCGCGGCCGCGAGCTTTGCAAAGAGATCCGAAGGTGCGTCGCCGATCCCCATATCCGCAACACGCCCCCCACGAACCCTAAAATTTCCAGAGAAAGCCCTACGTGGCCAGACAAACTTTTTTGTGTGTTTGACGCCGAATATTCGCGGGAAACAAAACTGGCATATTCTCGCCCGGCAACTGGATATTCGCGGGCTATGGATCGATCACGAAGGAAAGGAACGTACATTGTAAGTTGCCGTAGCTCTTGGGCTAGCTAACACCAAGAGAGGCAACAATTTGATACAACAGCCATCGATCTCTATAGTTTTCTAGCTAAGAGAAAAAAAACAATGATCTTAGCTCATGAGAAATTCTCGAAGAGCTCCTCCCTCTCGTCGCTGTAGATCTCTTCAGCGCGAACTTGTGATCGCCGTACTGAAGCGCGAACGCTTCCCACAGCAGCTCCTGGGACGGCCTCGGGTAGAAACTCTCGTTGTGAGGACACACACCTTCGGTTCTCGCCTCGCAGGATCCCACGCTAGCTGAATTTTGATCAGAGTGCGGTGGAGGTGTGCAGTGAATCGCCCCCCAAGTGGCGCAAAGATCCAGTCCCATTGCTTCGGCTTCTGTGAAGCCTACAGCGGGCTCGGGAGCCCAGCTTCCTTTTGACGATCCGTTCCCCTCCCACAAGTGATCTGAGAGAACCGACAATGGCAACGTCTCCAGCTTCTCCATGACGATGACCGGAACATCGTAGGCTTTCAAGCCACAGAGCTGGACGTTGAGCGATCTTGCAATCTCGTTTGCACTAGAAAAGAATGCGATGAGGCGAGCGACCTGGACCGTGGAAGAAACCCGGCTACATGACTCGAACACGACCTTGTGCGTATCATACTCGCGCTCCAAGTCCTCCTCCTCTGATTCTCCTACCTTGAAAGCAAACTTCACATTCCCGTGCACTCCTTTGTCCAGGAGTTCGAGCTAGATCACGCGATCGGTAATTCGGATAAAAACTCCGAAACATAGTTTCTGGATAGTAGAAGACGCAAAGAGAGCTCCTTGACTTTTCCATATCTATACCTCCGCTCCTATGAATTCAAGAGGAAAAACAATCGGAACATGACATTTTCATGGTACCTGTGACAGTTAAGCTCGTTGTTGGCTTCCTCTTGATCCTCGACTGTGTTTCTCTTCCTGTAATTGTTATGTTATACGTTTTGGAACTTTTTGAAGTTTGGTAACTGCAGTTCCATCGATTGCTATCTGAGAGCCCAGTGTTCCTATAGGAAAGTAAAGCTAGTAAACCTTGCACCTTGGAATGTAAAATTTACCCGGAAGAATTCAATCGCTTAGAAGCTCGGTGGTTGTTCATGCAGCTGTGTCCCTCTCCTCCAGTAGTTGTTTTTGCTCCACAGCTTTGTCTAGCTCTTGCTTGTTCTTGCTGTTTTTTGATGTTTCCTACAAATCAAGCATATATCCCAATGAACAATTCACACGTTAAAGCGTCTGTCCTCCAAGAGAACACGGGTCAACGGCCAATTCATATATTGTCTTCCGTTTCTGAATTTCATTAAGCAGTTGCTCGCAACTAAAAATTATAAAAATGTTAAACATGCGACAACAAACAATAACTATTTACCTGCGAAGTCCTACATTCACGAAGACGATTGTTAAATGACTTGTCGCGGGGACCATGTCTCTCGGCGAGTAACCTGCTGATAAAAGTACGGATAAAAGTAGTCCAGAACAAATACCATTAAAACCGAGGACAAACCACCTTCGAATGGTCATCTCGAGCTGCTGAACTTAAGAACTCACTGCAAAAGGAGAAAGTTAATCGTCTGAACATGGCCCCTAAAATAAGTTTTCAAGACTCAAATAAGAACATTAAGAGCGAAGACACCACAACTAATCACGAAGCTCTTTAATTTCTTTTTCCTGCCGCTTAAGAAGAGCTGTATCTACAAAAACAGGAAATGAAAAAATACGCATGAGAAGCTGGTCAGCTGCAAACTGCGCCTCCGGGATCCATACCTCATTGACGTGCGTGCATGTGAAGCTTTTTTCGATCTCGAGGCAAATTGAACTGTTATTTTGTTTCGTCTGTGTGTTTCTGAAACAATACGAAACTTTGACGCACTGAGTAGCTGACGTGTTACCTCACCCGGTGTAATGGTGACCTTACGAGCAAAGATCTCGCTGTGGCACCTCATTAAAGAATCTCTTGGCCTGGTTCATGAGCCCTAGATCAAAGATAACCTCTGGTGGCTTCTTTGGCATTGTTGGACCAAAAAGACCGTGGTATGTTCTCAAAGATTCGGTAGCCTGAAGCTAGCATTCTGCATTGTGGATAAACAACTTGCATTCAATATCGAACTGCAGCATTCTTTCAAAAACATGTTTTTGGTCCAGTGTGTTACCGTCTAAAGAGGATTAAAGAATGCGCATCAGTTTGCTGTCCAGGTACGCTATATAACCTTTATCATTGGAATATGTGAAAAAACAATGAAGCTAGGAGGAGGAAAGTGTTACCTTTTCCTGGACCCTCGCTCAGCTTATTTCTAACAGTTCCAATAGTCATGAGACTTTTGCTAATGTGTTGTCCCTCCTTAAGTCGAAATCCTCCAGCTCCTGTTTTTGCAACATGCTCAGAACCTGCTAGATCTACCAGGTTCTGAAAAGCACAAGTTATAGTGCAAACGTATAGATCGTAAAATTCTAGGCTTACCACACTCGAACAGAGTCCTGTTTCTGTTGTTGTCAATGACCTGTGTGCGTGATTCACGATACATACCATCCGAAATATAGAGTGAGATCGACTACTGTCTCTGTTCATGTTCGTCTCGCCAAAATGACGTGTGCTGCAACAATGTCAGTACCCCTACCTTCTCCAAGCTTTAAGAATGGTCAGGACTGTTAACAACTTCCTCTCTGAGTCCAGCAACAAACAACCCCTTCTGTACAATGAAGTGTAAGAATGTGAGAAACACTTGCAATGTGAGAAATACTTGCAAATGTTACCTTGAAATTCTCGTGTTAAGAGGCCGTTCATCTCTTCGCTATAAATCTCCATGTAAGAAACACGAACTAGGAACTCCCTGTTAGAATTCTAAATGAACAGAAGTCAGCAACACACAGTTCCGGGTTTCGATCTCCAGCAAACCTGGAACATGCTGTCAAAAACGTCTCGGATGATACCAGGATGATTATCAGAACCTTGCATCGTGTAAGTCTTCCCGCTACTCATACGCAAACACATGAAGATTGACTCTTTTTCAGGACTCAACTAAGAGAAGCTCTAAGCGCGACACTTTGCTCTCCCGCAGGTCGGATTCCTGGCGATCCAGTGGCGGTGGCGGCTGCGGCGCAGCAAGATTTGTGACTGTGATGATCAGCAAACACGAACAGGAAGGCGAGAGGAATGGCGAGAGCGCTATAGGCATCAATGATTATGGCGCCATTCCTCTCTCCGTATCGTTCGAATCCCTTACGGTGACTCTCTCTCTACCCTTGCGGCTATGGAGGATCCCGTGTGTTTCCATCGGCAGGCAGCGGCAGCGCTGGAGCTCCTGGTGCCGTCAAGCATCCCTTGTCTTCGTCAATCGGTGCTATCCCGCAGGCAAGCTCCAATTCAATCGCAGCGAGAGCCTGATGCTTTCTCTCTCGAGGATTTCCTCTTTGGCTACCATGGCATCATCCTCAACTGCTCTGTCGTCCCTGGCGACTTGTCCAAGCACAATGTCTGGGAAGACATCTGCTCGATCTACCAGGAGATCCGCTGCAAAGGTAGAAAACCGTAAATAAAGCTTCTTTGTGATCTAAAAATCCTTTTTTCTTGTAGACTTCAAAGACGCTCCGCCTCCAGTCAAGGCGGTGCGCCTCCTCGAGCTACTGCTGCGTTTGGTCAGGCCGAGATCCAACGTCCTGGACAATGTGCTCGTCGTCACAGCTCCAGACAATGTGAGACACTTTGTGGAGGTTTTG